GAGTGGACCTGTCCACCTCCTGCACCTCCAAAATCTCCCCTGGGACCCTGAGAATTCAAAAGGCAGAAGGCCAGAGGCAGAGCCGAAGCCTTGACTGGGCAGAAGTACATACAGAAGTACATCTTGAGCCCTCTAACACTCTAGCCTCTCTGAGGAGGAAGAGACATCTCTATAACTCTTTGCAAGACCAGGAACCTAGCCCTGGCTACAGGAAAGGGAGGAACTCTCAGTTCCCTAATCCGGGGAGGGCGGGATACAAATGTAAATAATAAACAAAATAAATAAATAATTCTGCAGATTGCTGGTTCAACATTTCATTTCTCATTTTAGCGTAGAAATCAGCTGATTGATAAACTCAAGCTTTCTAGGGCCTGCCTGCCTCTTGTGGAGTCCTAGTCTCCAGCTGAAGCTCTTGCCTTGACCCTTGAATCCTGCTATACTTGTTTCTTCTATACCAGTTTACCTGTCATCCTTGAATTTTGCTGTCAACTTGCCAGAACAGGATAAAAAACAAAGTGAGCACAATTAATTTTAAAACAGAATAAATCACTGGGTGAGTTACAGTTGTTGACTAGTCACTTGTTTATTAGTAAGGCACATACTTGTTTATTTAAGACTGAGACCCTCATAACAGTGCCACCATAAGCAGAGTTATATCAGTCTAAGACCATTAGGCTTAGAAAGATGCAAGTGGAGGCACATTCTAAATTGCATCCAAATAAAATTATGTTGATTAATGCCATCTGAAAACACTCTTTTCATTTCAGAAACTGCTTTTATTATATAGTCTAATCTGCCTAAACATATCTCCGTTCTCTGAAGCAGACATGAACCGTGCTCCGGGAATGGTCCGCCAAAGGAAGCCATCAGGACCCTCTCCTGACGCCAGGACGAAGCGTGCCGACTCAAGACCGCCTGGGAAGAACAGAGCCGAGCCAGAAAAAGAACAACAGCTCCACCACCTGGGTGCCGGTAGGCAGCCCCCTCCCCTGTACCATGTGGCCCCAAATTCGGAAAAAGCGTTCCTATAACCCTCTATGTAAACCGCTCAGAGACCCTTCGGGGTTAGGGCGATACTTACTATAAGTCGAATATATAAATAAATAAATAAGTAAATAATTTACAGAACCCTATTGTAGCAGTTTATCATAACAAATTTTCAAATTGAAAAAATGTAAAAATGGGTTTTTGTTGCAGAACACAGAAAAGGGGCCAATTTAGATACTGTTTAATGAACAGTCAATGTAAAAAACTTATTTTACCTGAGGAAAAATATGCAGATATGCCTTGTATGTGTAAAAAAGAATACTCATAACAGTCCCACCATAAGCAGAGTTATATCAGTCTAAGACCATTAGGCTTAGAAAGATGCAAGTCTGTTTAGAACTGAGCTGTTAGTATACACCCTGAGAATGCAGTGAAATATCTAGTGATGTGGGCCATAATTTGTTTGAAATGTGGAACTTTCCACAGTCTATCCTAGGAATGAGAAGGGCATATTCAAGTGTTTTCTTCTGACAGTCAAGTAGTTAAACAATTCATTCAAAAATTGTTTTCTTTTTACTCTGCCTTAAGCAGGTCTGCTTTTAAATGATATCATGTTGGCCTTTAATATTTAAAATTATCACTGATTGTACAAACATCATTATATTCTACTAATGGAAAAGTTTCCCATTATCTGAAATCTGGTTAAGAAAAATGTAGTACCAACCATTATTAATATGCCCACTGGCTAAACTGTATGGTCACCTCAAGAATCAGGAACATGTTTGGGATCATTTTGACAAATTAAGTTCTATATTTTTACAAACATTCTACTTTATACTGGGAGGCACTTTGTGGCTATGTTGGGTACTCTATACTTCCAGCTCAACTCGTACTATTATATCCATTACAATACTGTGGAACAAGTATTACCTACTTCAGGCATATATTAAACCTTTATTTATTTAAATATTTAAATAAATGATATCCCATATTGTTCTCTATAGATTGAAGGTATCTTGTGTGTGTGTGTGTGTGTATTTTTAAAAGATGCATCACATATTTCATTCATGCAAATGCATAGCATGACTGTACACAGACACAGTTCACAGAAGAACAAAGTTCCGGTCCATTCAAGGTATAAGGTTTTGGGTGCACAGACTCGAACTTTGTTCTGCTGCATCAGACCAACACAGCTACCCACCTGAATCTATAGTTCACAGAAATAACATTAATAAGTTTTGCCTCCCTGTTTAATCTCTCAAGGACAAGTTTTAAATATTAGATTTTTAAAGCAGCAGATTTTTATCCCTCTAAAAATTGTACATAACATACAAGGTAGTTTTTTCCTGATATCTCATATCCTCATCATCACTATCTCTTTTTTTCCTTTTCATATAATTATACTACAGTTTTTCTCACTGATTGCCTGCATTAGTTCTTGATACTCAATTGTGGTAATGGTCTATCATGTGCAAATAGGAGCCTAATGGAATTACTGCAGCTCCTTTTGATGCAAGATCAGAACCTAAGAAGCAGACTGACAACAAAGCTAAATAAGCAGGAATAATATTCTAATTGGTTGCCATTTTAGCCTTGGAAACTATCATAAAACTACTAAGTTTTGAATGGGTATCTAATTTACAAACCAGCAAAGAACCAACTTGTTTCTATTTCTAAAATTTATCTTCTAAAATTAACTGCACTGTAACCTCACCCCTCCCATTCTCCAAACAAATTCTAAACTTGAACCTTTACAGTAAGGGCAGGGGTCATTTGGGGGGGGAACGTGGGGGGACGCCATCCCCCCGGGTGAGGTGCGGGAGGGCGGGGCCTGGAGCTCCCTGCTGGTGCCCGCTGGAGGTCACCGCCGGCTGTGGGGAGGACACACTTCCGGTGATGTCAGGGGGTGTGGCATATGCTAATGAGTTATGCTAATGAGTCCCCCTAGCTCTTTTTCTACGAAATGACCCCTGAGTAAGGGTATTTATTCCCACATCAATATTTTCAATAATATCTTCTAAGATTAATGATAAACAATTGAATTCTGAATCCCCATTACCCTTGACTTTATACAGAAATTCTGAATTCATTCTAAATTGCATCCAAATAAAATTATGTTGATTAATGCCATCTGAAAACACTCCTTTTTTCATTTCAGAAACTGCTTTTATTATATAGTTTAATCTGCCTAAACTTAGCTCCGTTCTCTAGTAATTATTTACAGAACCCTATTGTAGCAGTTTATCATAACAAATTTTCAAATTGAAAAAATGTAAAAATGGGTTTTTGTTGCAGAACATAGGCCCCGGTCACATGGGCAGGAAACTGCGGGGGAGAAGCGTGGCTGTTTGCCCTGGGGCAAACTACTGCGCAGTTACTTGATCAGACCTCCCGTGGAGGTCCTGTGGAGGTACCGTGGAGGTTCCATGGCAAGGGAAAGGTGCTGATCACAGGACAAGCCGGCGCGCAACGAAGAAGCGCGCGCCGCGGCAAACTGTTATGTTTTTGTGTGTACACGACGAATGCGCATGCTCCGTTGGGTGCGTGTGCGCATCCACAGAGACGTGGACAAAAAACCCCCCACCTTATTTGCAAGGGGACATGGGCGGGCGCCGGATGCCACCGGAAACGTGACCAGACGCCCGCCTTTGCCCCGCAGTTTCCGGAAACTAGTACCTCCGAGGTACTAGTTTTTTGCCACGCAGTTTCGGCTGGAAGCCTCGGTTGAGCCACGGGAGTGCTACGCTTCCCAGATGTGCTGGTGAGATCGTGCCCGGAAACTCCGCCTGTTTTCCATCTCACTTGTGTGGCTTCTGTTCCGTGTGACCGTAGCCATAGAAAAGGGGCCAATTTAGATACTGTTTATGAACAGTCACTGTAAAAAACTTATTTTACCTGAGGAAAAAATATGCAGATATGCCTTGTATGTGTAAAAAAGAATACTCAGCTGAAAATGAGTTTGTCTTTGATCTCTGACCCCCTCCCCTGTATTCCAAGTCTTCACTATCTTCTGCTAACAATCTATTCAGCAGGTGGGCAAAAACCGTTTCTTCTACAGATTTATGGACTGGGATCAATAATATTAAAATAATATTTCTGTCTTTCTCTTAACTTAATTCTGATGGTATGACTGCAGTTCAATGAGTCCAGCACTAGATCACATACAGACAGGAGTCCAATATTTCAACTCTTATTATAATAAAAATTAACTTTAAAGGAGTTGAGGAACAGAGGTAGGACTCAAAAGCAGCTGTTTATACAAATTAAAGCATAGTAAGAGGTAAACATAGGCAGGAAACTGAATAGAGTTCACAGAGATGACATGAATAAGGACCACCTACTTTGCACTCACTGTGTTTAGTAGGATACACAGAGAGGGAGGTAATGGATGGTTATAAGTAATAAGGAGAAGGACTATTGCTATCTGCTTCCTGAAGCTGCTTTGTCTGGGCATGGAGTTAATGTTCCAGGGTTGAGAGGGTAAAATAAAAGGCTGCAAGAAAAAAGAATGTGCAAGCACTTCAATATCAACACTAGCTACCACTTCTCTTGAGCCAGAGGTGAATCTCTCCAGGAGCCCTACTCTCTTTCCTAGGTTATTGCGCCATAACTCCAGGAAGTACACTCTACAGATGGAAAAAAGCAGGGTTTATTTTAATCATGTGGTTAAACTGCAGAATATTAAATCTTTTTCTTGACTCACGACCACATAGTAAACTTTCTTCCCTGTTGAACTTTACATATGTAACTTCTTACTCATTCTCTGCATGTCAGAAATAATACCGTTAGATCTATCATGATAGGAATTGTATACATGGGAGTAAAGCTAATTTTCCTTTGCTTTACAGTTTGGGAAGTAACTGAACTCTGAAAAACCATCTCACAAACTATGTCACAAACTATTTTCCAAAGCACACAAGATTAAATCCGCATATGCTGCTGAGATGAAAAGAAAGCAGCAGATCATCTACAGCTAAAATGATGGCATATGATTTATGATTAAGCATCATTACCTGCAGAGCAAGGGGCTTCCATCTCATATTTTTCAGTAAAGCTGGTGCTGAGGTAAGCATGCTCTGAGGTCGCTTTTTCAAAGTTAAGATAACACCACTCGGATCCTCTCGTAGTGCATTCACCAAATTTTTCAACTGCCACCCCACCTGGTAACCAGCAAAATTGTAACAATAAAATTGAGGCATAATATTCACAATGTAATCTTTCCCCTTTTATTAAGAATAGTAAAATTAAATTTTAGAAAATTAATTTTAAAAATGTCACAATTTACTTAATCATGCCATCTTAAAAATCAGTATTATCTGGATGCATTAAAATGGGTTATATGACATGTAAAACTTGAAGAGTAAATACATTGCTACTGCCAATCTATTGAGGCATTTGTTTTAATTTTTATGTGACCTTTTAAAGAACTTGTTTGAAACTAATTACTGCTGAGCACGAACATCAAAATGACCAAATATGAAAATAGCTATCTATTCTACAGTTTGACAGGTACTGTACCATTGTTTTACCTGCACGTCTTACACCTTATTATTTTCTATAATTAAGCATGCTACCATCCTTCCCCTCTCACATTCTATGCAATTTAACACTATAAAATACTCCTTCAGAATGGTTACAAATAAAATTATGTGAGGTCTTCTATCCTTAAAGGTATTAAAAACAAACCATTATAATAAAGTATATTTTAACTAAATATCCAAGTTTTTGCAATCTAATTCAAAATGGCTCCCAAAATTTTATTGTTCAGAAATAAACACATCCAGGATTAAATTAAGAAAGTGTACATGTATTATATACAGTAGTGAAGCATACAAGTGCAGTGACAGAAACTATGACATTATACTAC